GCTCTCTTTAAGCATTTCAGCAAATGAGAGCTGTGTTGTGGAGGACCCCCTCCACAGTAGCATTTCTATCTTCCTGAGGTACGGTTTGTGTCTGGTATTGCAGAGGAGTCTCCTTCAGAGACTCCTCTGAAGCAGACTCCTCTCCTCCTTCAATCTTATCTCCTCCTTTGCTGCCTTTAGTTAATCCTGCAGGTTGGCTACTGTCTCCCTCATTACCCTCAGTCCTTCACTCAATTCATCCCACATTTGCTGGAATACTCTCTTCATCCAGGCTACCGGTTCCATCACATTCTCTGAGTTTGTTCCAGCAGTGATTGTCTTCTTGAGTTTGTCACCCCGAATTCGTGTCCCTTCCATGTTTACCTATGAGAGAGAGAGAGAGAGAGAGAGAGAGAGAGAGAGCGAGAGAGAGAGAGAGAGAGAGAGAGAGAGAGAAGAGAGAGAGAGAGAGAGAAAGGGGGAGAGAGAGAAAGGGGGGAGAGGGAGGAGAAAGAGAATGAGGGGGAGAGGGAGAAGGGGAGAGAGAGAGCGTTGGGGGGGGGGGGGGAGAGAGAGAGAGCACATGCACACACTGTGTGTGTGTGTGTGTGTGTGTGTACTCACCTAGTTTACTCACCTAGTTGTGTTTGCGGGGGTTGAGCTCTGGCTCTTTGGTCCCGCCTCTCAACCGTCAATCAACATGTGTACAAATTCCTGAGCCTATCGGGCTCTGTCATATCTACCACTTGAAACTGTGTATGGAGTCAGCCTCCACCACATCACCCCCTAATGCATTCCATTTGTTAACCACTCTGACACTAAAAAAGTTCTTTCTAATAATCTCTGTGGCTCATTTGGGCACTCAGTTTCCAACTGTGTCCCCTTGTGCGTGTTCCCCTTGTGTTAAATAGACTGTCTTTATCTACCCTATCAATTCCTTCAGAATCTTGAATGTGGTGATCATGTCCCCCCTAACTCTTCTGTCTTCCAGCGAAGTGAGGTTTAATTCCCGTAGTCTCTCCTCGTAGCTCATACCTCTCAGCTCGGGTACTAGTCTGGTGGCAAAACTTTGAACCTTTTCCAGTTTAGTCTTATCTTTGACTAGATATTGACTCCATGCTGAGGTTGCATACTCCAGGATTGGCCTGACATACGTGGTATACAAAGTTCTGAATGATTCTTTACACAAGATTCTGAATGCCGTTCGTATGTTGGCCAGCCTGGCATATGCCGCTGATGTTATCCTCTTGATATAAGCTTCAGGTGATAGGTCTGGCGTGATATCAACACCCAAGTCTTTTTCCTTCTCTGACTCCTGAAGTATTTCATCTCCCAAATGATACCTTGTATCTGGCCTCCTGCTCCCTACACCTATCTTCATTACATTACATTTGGTTGGGTTAAACTCTAACAACCATTTGTTCGACCATTCCTTCAGCTTGTCTAGGTCTTCTTGAAGCCTCAAACAGTCCTCTTCTGTTTTAATCCTTCTCATAATTTTAGCATCGTCCGCAAACATTGAGAGAAATGAATCGATACCCTCTGGGAGATCATTTACATATATCATAAACAAGATAGGACCGAGTACAGAGCCCTGTGGGACTCCACTGGTGACTTCACGCCAATCGGAGGTCTCACCCTCACCGTAACTCTCTGCTTCCTATTGCTTAGATACTCCCTTATCCACTGGAGCACCTTACCAGCTACACCTGCCTGTCTCTCCAGCTTATGTGCCCAGCCTCTTATGCGGTACTGTGTCAAAGGCTTTCCGACAATCAAAGAAAATGCAGTCCGCCCAGCCCTCTCTCTTTCTTTGCTTAATATTTATCACCTGATCATAGAATTCTATCAAGCCTGTACGGCAAGATTTACCCTCCCTGAACCCATGTTGGTGATTTGTCACGAAGTCCCTTCTCTCCAGATGTGTTACCAGGTTTTTTTCTCACGATCTTCTCCATCACCTTGCATGGTATACAAGTCAAGGACACTGGCCTGTAGTTCAGTGTCTCTTGCCTGTCGCCCTTTTTGTATATTGGGACCACATTCGCTGTCTTCTATATTTCTGGTAGGTCTCCCGTCTCCAATGACTTACTATACACTATGGAGAGTGGCAAGCAAAGTGCCTCTGCACACTCTTTCAGTATCCATGTGAGATCCCATCTGGACCAACAGCCTTTTCTAACATCCAGATCCAGCAGGTGTCTCTTGACCTCCTCTCTCGTAATTTCGAACTCTTCCAAGGCCGCCTGTTTACCTCCCTTTCTCCTAGCACAGTGACCTCACCTTGTTCTATTGTGAAGACCTCCTGGAACCTCTTGTTGAGTTCTTCACACACCTTTCTGTCCATTCTCTGTATACCAGTCCTCGCCTGTTCGAAGTTTCAATACCTGTTCTTTCACTGTTGTTTTCCCCTTCTGATGTGACTGTGGAGTAGCTTTTGGTTCGGTCTTGGCTTTGTTTGCTATATCATTTTCAAAACTTTTCTCTCTGCTTCTCTTCTCACCCTGACGTACTCATTCCTGGTTCTCTGGTATCTCTCTCTGCTTTTCTGGTGTTGTCTGTTATTCCAGAAGTTCCTCCACGCCCTTTTGTTCAGTTTCGTTCGCTTCCATACATGCCGTATACACCATAGATTCTTCGTTGCTTCTCGGATTTTCCCTTTGGCCGGGATGAACCTGTTTACTGCCTCCTGACACTTTTGGGTACATAGTCCATCATACCCTGTACAGACTTATCTCTGAGGTCTGTGTCCCAAGGTCTTTCACATAGGAAACTTCTCATCTGTCATAATCCTCTTTCGGTATCAGCCTTTTGATTCCTAGTTCTTTTTTGGGGGAGATAAGTCCTAGCTCTACCAGGTACTCAAAGTTCAATACACTGTGGTCACTCATTCCCAAGGGTGCTTCCTTCTTGACTTCCCTTATATCCATCATTTAGGGAAATATCAATTGAGCTTGGCTGGTTCATCTTCATCTTGATGAAGTTCATCTTGTGTGAGTGTGTGTGTGTGTGTGTGTGTGTGTGTGTGTGTGGTGTGTGTGTGTGTGTACTCACCTAGTTGTACTCACCTAGTTGTGTTTGCGGGGGTTGAGCTCTGGCTCTTTGGTCCCGCCTCTCAACCGTCAATCAACAGGTGTACAGATTCCTGAGCCTACTGGGCTCTATCATTTCTACACTTGAAACTGTGTATGGAGTCAGCCCTCCACCACATCACCTCCTAATGCATTCCATTTGTCAACCACTCTGACACTAAAAAAGTTCTTTCTAATATCTCTGTGGCTCATTTGGGCACTCAGTTTCCACCTGTGTCCCCTTGTGCGTGTTCCCTTGTGTTAAATAGACTGTCTTTATCTACCCTATCAATCCCCTTCAGAATCTTGAATGTGGTGATCATGTCCCCCCTAACTCTTCTGTCTTCCAGCGAAGTGAGGTTTATTTCCCGTAGTCTCTCCTCGTAGCTCATACCTCTCAGCTCGGGTACTAGTCTGGTGGCAAACCTTTGAACTTTTCGAGTTTAGTCTTATCCTTGACTAGATATGGACTCCATGCTGGGGCTGCATACTCCAGGATTGGCCTGACATATGTGGTATACAAAGTTCTGAATGATTCTTTACACAAGTTGCTGAATGCCATTCGTATGTTGGCCAGCCTGGCATATGCCGCTCATGTTATCCGCTTGATATGTGCTGCAGGAGACAGGTCTGGCGTGATATCAACCCCCAAGTCTTTTTTCCTTCTCTGACTCCTGAAGAATTTCCTCTCCCAGATGATTACCTTGTATTCTGGCCTCCTGCTCCCTACACTATCTTTCATTACATTACATTTGGTTGGGTTAAACTCTAAACAAACCATTTGTTCGACCATTCCTTCAGCTTGTCTAGGTCTTCTTGAAGCCTCAAACAGTCCTCTTCTGTTTTAATCCTTCTCATAATTTTAGCATCGTCCGCAAACATTGAGAGAAATGAATCGATACCCTCCGGGATATCATTTACATATATCAGAAACAAGATAGGACCGAGTACAGAGCCCTGTGGGACTCCACTGTTGACTTCACGCCAATCGGAGGTCTCACCCCTCACCGTAACTCTCTGCTTCCTATTGCTTAGATATTCCCTTATCCACTGGAGCACCTTACCAGCTACACCTGCCTGTCTTCTCTCATGCATATGTACCAGCCTCTTATGCGGTATGTGTGTGTGTGTGTGTGTGTGTGTGTGTGTGTGTGTGTTACTAGTTGTGTTTTTTACGGGGGTTGAGCTTTTGCTCTTTCGGCCCGCCTCTCAACTGTCAATCAACTGTTTACTAACTACTTTTTTTTTTTTTTCCACACCACACACACACACACCACACCCCCAGGAAGCAGCCCGTGACAGCTGACTAACTCCCAGGTACCTATTTACTGCTAGGTAACGGGGGCATTCAGGGTGAAAGAAACTTTGCCCATTTGTTTCTGCCTCGTGCGGGAATCGAACCCGCGCCACAGAATTACGAATCCTGCGCGCTATCCACCAGGCTACGAGGCCCCGAGGCGAGGTGAGTGCGTGTGCATGCGCGTGGTGCGTGTGCGTGCGCGTGTGCGTGTGCGTGTGCGTGTGCGTGTGCGTGTGCGTGTGCGTGTGCGTGTGCGTGTGTGTGTGGGTGTGTGTTGTTTCTAGTTGTGTTTTGCGGGGGTTGAGCTTTGCTCTTTCGGCCCGCCTCTCAACTGTCAATCAACTGTTTACTAACTACTTTTTTTTTTTTTTTTTTTTTGTTTTTTTTCCCACACACACCACACACACACACACACACATCCCAGGAAGCAGCCCGTGACAGCTGACTAACTCCCAGGTACCTATTTACTGCTAGGTAACAGGGGCACTTAGGGTGAAAGAAACTTTGCCCATTTGTTTCTGCTTCGTGCGGGAATCGAACCCGCGCCACAGAATTACGAGTCCTGCGCGCGATCCACCAGGCTACGAGGCCCCATATGTGTGTGTGTGTGTGTGTGTGTGTGTGTGTGTGTGTGTGTGTGTGGTACTAACCTTCATAATCCTGACCTGAGGGAGGCCCCAGGAGGTTGTGAGGTGGATCATGGAATATTCATGATAGCGACGAGTCTGGATCATGACAGCCTCGCCCCTCACCACACGAGGGCTGATGTCCTCGAAGCTTCTCACCGACACAAACCGACTGGACAATCCCTGAAGGTTGAAGATCAGCAATTATTACCAAATACATGTACAGTATGTGCATTATTGTGGCTCACTAATAACAATGCATATATATTAATCTGTAAATAATTGTTGTTAATAGAGGTGCTGGAATAACTATCAATAGCCCTGGAATAATTACAGGTTCGTGCCAACAGGTTCTGAGACTCTGGGCGCCTGAGGTAAATGTGCACTCAAGTTCCTGAAGGAGCTGGGCGAGGAACTCATTGGGAAGACTAGAGACCCAAGAGCGGCCAGTTTCATGTTCCAGCGCCTCAGAGGGTGTCGCTGTTCAGAGGGTGAATGCGTGCTGTATCTTGGGTACGCACCCGACCCCCGAGGAGCTGGACGTATATATATATATATATATATATATATATATATATATATATATATATATATATGTCGTACCTAGTAGCCAGAACGCACTTCTTGGCCTACTATGCAAGGCCCGATTTGCCTAATAAGCCAAGTTTTCATGAATTAATTGTTTTTTGACTACCTAACCTACCTAACCTAACCTAACCTAACATTTTCGGCTACCTAACCTAACCTAACCTATAAAGATAGGTTAGGTTAGGTTAGGTAGGGTTGGTTAGGTTCGGTCATATATCTACGTTAATTTTAACTCCAATAAAAAAAAAATTGACCTCATACGTAATGAAATGGGTAGCTTTATCATTTCATAAGAAAAAATTAGAGAAAATATATTATTCAGGAAAACTTGGCTTATTAGGCAAATCGGGCCTTGCATAGTAGGCTGAGAAGTGCGTTCTGGCTACTAGGTACGACATATATATATATATATATATATATATATATGTCGTACCTAGTAGCCAGAACTCACTTCTCAGCCTACTATTCAAGGCCCGATTTGCCTAATAAGCCAAGTTTTCCTGAATTAATATATTTACTATAATTTTTTTCTTATGAAATGATAAAGCTACCCTTTTCTCTATGTATGAGGTCAATTTTTTTTTATTGGAGTTAAAATTAACGTAGATATATGACCGAACCTAACCAACCCTACCTAACCTAACCTAACCTATCTTTATAGGTTAGGTTAGGTTAGGTAGCCAAAAAAGTTAGGTTAGGTTAGGTTAGGTAGGTTAGGTAGACGAAAAAACATTAATTCATGAAAACTTGGCTTATTAGGCAAATCGGGCCTTGAATAGTAGGCTGAGAAGTGCGTTCTGGCTATTAGGTACGACATATATATATATATATATATATATATATATATATATATATATATATATATATATATATATATATATATATATATATATATATATATATATATATATATATATATATATATATATATATATATATATATATATATATATATATATATATATAAATATATATATACGGTTCGTTGATGGTCAAGTTCGGTCATTAAGGCGTCTTTTACATACCAGTTGCGTTCATTCTGGGAGTATGGGTTCGAGTCACTTCTGGGGTGTGAGTTATCAGTTGCATATTGTCCAGTGGACCATTCTGGCTTGTTCGCATATATATATATATATATATATTTATATATATATATATATATATATATATATATATATATATATATATATATATATATATATATATGTTGTGATATATGTTATATATCACAATATAACACAACAGTATTGTGTTAGTTGTCTCTTCAGAGGTTGCATGGCGTTTCACCTTCCTTCTTATGATGTCTTCAACGAAACCATTGGAGAAGCCGTTGTTGACTAGGACCTGCCTTACCCTACAGAGTTCTTCATCAACTTGCTTCCATCCTGACCTGTGGCTGAGTGCACAGTCGACATAAGCGTTAACAACACTCCTCTTGTACCTGTCTGGGCAGTCACTGTTGGCATTAAGGCACATTCCTATGTTTGTTTCCTTAGTGTAGACTGCAGTGTGGAAACCTCTGCTCCTTTCCATGACTGTTACATCTAGAAAGGGCAGCTTCCCATCCTTCTCCATCTCGTAAATGAAACGCAACACAGAAATCCGCTCAACAAGCGGATCACTGGTCATAAAATTCTATTAAACCTGTGAGGCACGATTTATCATCCCTGAACCCATGTTGGTGGTGCGTTACAAAGTTATTTCCCTCCAGATGCTCTACGAGCCTTTTTCTCACGATCTTCTCCATCATGGTATACAAGTTAAGGAAACTGGCCTGTAATTCAGTGCCTCTTGCCTGTCACCCTTTTTATATATTGGGACCACGTTAGCTGTCTTCCAACCTTCTGGTAAGTCTCCTGTTTCCAGTGACCTGTTATACACCATAGAGAGTGGCACACTTAGTGCTTCTGCACCTTCCTTTAGTATCCATGGTGAGATTCTGTCAGGCCCAACAGCCTTTGTCACATCCAGCTCCAGCAGACACCTTTTGACCTCATCACTGGTGAGGTCAAATTCCTTCAAGGTTGCTTGGTTTGCCGCCTCCTCATTTAGTGCAGGGGCTTCTCCTTGTTCTATTGTGAAGGCCTCCTGGAATCTCTTGTTGAGTTCTTCACACACCTCCTTGTCATTCTCTGTGTATCTGTTCTCCGCTTTTCGCAGCTTCATCACTTGTTCCTTCACTCCTGTTTTCCTCCTGATGTGGCTGTGGAGCAGTTTTGGTTGGGTCTTGGCTTTACTCGCGATGTCTTTTTCAAATTGTCTCTCTGCTTCCCTCCTCACTCTGAGGTACTCATTTCTGGCCCTCTGTTATCTCTCCCTGCTCTCTGGTGTTCTGTTATTTCTGTAGTTTCTCCATGTTCTTTTACTCAGTTGCTTCGCTACCTTACATTCCTGGTTGAACCATGGGTTTTTCTGTTGTTTTTTGTTTTTCTCTTTTTGGACGGGGATAAACCTGTCTGCAGTTTCCTGGCACTTCTGGGTGACAAAATCCATCATGACCTGCACATTCTTGTCTCTAAGTTCTGTTTCCCATGGTATTCCCCTGAGGAAGCTCCTCATCTCGTCATATTTTCCTCTTCGGTAATTCAGTCTTTTTCCCTCTACTCCCATCCTTGGATAGGTTATCCCTATCTCCACCAAGTACTCAAAGGTCAGTACACTGTGGTCACTCATTCCTATGGGGGCTTCAACTTTGACTTCCCTTATTTCTGACTCATTCAGGGTGAATATCAAGTCGAGTCTAGCTGGTTCATCATTGCCTCTCACTCTTGTGGGTTCCTTGACATGCTGGCTCAGAAAATTCCTTGTTGCCACTTCCAAGAGTTTAGCTCTCCACGTATCTGCACCACCATGTGGGTCCCCATTCTCCCAGTCTATATTTCCATGGTTGAAATCGCCCATGATTAAGAGTCTGGAGCCATTCCTGCAGGCAACTGAAGCTGCTCTCTCTATTATATTAATGGTTGCCATGTTGTTCCTATCAAACTCCTGTCTAGGTCTTCTGTCATTTAGGGGAGAGTTGTAAATGACTGCCACTATTATCTTAGGTCCACCCATTGTTATAGTTCCTGTTATGTATCTCTGAATCCGTCACAGCCCGGAATTTCCATCTCATCAAAACTCCAGTCCTTCCTTATCAGCAGGGCCACTCCTCCACCTCCTCTCCCTTCCCTCTCTTTCCTTACTATATAGTAGTCCTTTGGAAACACGGCATCTGTTATAACTCCTGACAATTTTGTTTCCGTTAGTCCTATTACATCAGGGATTTCTTCTTGCACTCTTTCTGCCAGTTCACTTGCTTTATTGGTAATCCCATCAATGTTTGAGTACATTACATTGAAGCTCACTTTCTTATATCTAATTTCACCCTCACTCCCCACAAGTGTAGGAAGTTGTTCTATGGTCATTGCTACTTGGGTAGGCTCCTCCTCCTATGAGGAAGTTTCCAGGGGTTCAGGGGGAGGTGGAGTGGGGGATGGAGGGCTTAGGTCTTCCTCAGGCCTGCTTGGGGCAGGAAGAAGTCCTGGGGGTGAGGGAGCAGGGATTGCTTGGGGAAAGGGCACGACCTCCTGCAGTGTAGTTGACAGGGGTTTGGAGGGAGATGGAGTGGGGGATAGAGGGCTTTGGTCTTGCTCTGGCCTACTTGGGGCAGGTAGAAGACCAGGGGCTGGGAAAGCAGGGGCTACTTGAGGTAAGGGGAGGGCGAGGATTTGGATTTCCTGATGGGCATTGTGCAGGGGCAAGGAAGGGTTTGTGCTGGGGGGTAGGGAGGGACCTATTGGGTGGTGGGCTGGGGGGTTGCATTCCCCCCCCTGGGGTTCCTGGGTTGCTGGATTGGAGCTCCCCACTCCCCTCTGGGATTACTCGGTTGGAGGCTGAGGTTCCCTGGCTTTTTTCCCTCTCCTTGCATCTGCTGGCCTTACTTTCTCGTCTCTGGTCATGTCCCTCTGAATATATACCTCTTTGTAGTTCCTTGCATACCTCAATTTGCTCTTCTTTACTAGGATGTCCTCTTTGATGTCCTCGCTCTTGAATACTACCTTGATCAATCTCTTTTTGTATCTGTTGTACTGGCCAATCCGGAAAAACTGTTCTATGTCTCGTTCAGCCCCTTTCATTCCTATCTTCTTTAATATCCCTGCCACTGCAGCTTTGTCTTTATTCCTCGATTCCTCCCTTGTGGAGCCCTCTTGTTCCTTCCCACATACCACTACTACAGCTCTTTTCCTTTCCATTAGCTGGCTTGTGCATCTAGCTGCCTCCTGTGAGGTTACTGCTTTCATTACAACTTCCTTGACTGTGGACATTGCTCCTGGGCTCTTCAGCATTTCAGCAAAGGTTGGGCCAATTGTTGCGGTCCCTGCCATTGCTACATCTCCTGGTACCTGGGGTTGGTCCCTTGGACGAGAGTCTGAGGAGGGCCTGTTTTTAGGCTTTTTATCTCCTCTTGTGCTGCACTTAGTTCTGTCTGCAGCTTACATATAGTTTCCCTCAGGTCTTTCAATTCCCCACTGACTTCCTTCCATGCCTTAGCGATCATCTCCATGAATGACTCGTCCAGTCCCTCTCCTCCAGCTTCATTCTGTTGTCTTACCATTTGCTTGACCTGTGTGTGTGTGTGTGTGTGTGTGTGTGTGTGTGTGTGTGTGTGTGTGTGTGTGTGTGTGTGTGTGTGTGTGTGTGTGTGTGTGTGTGTGTGTGTGTGTGTGTGTGTGTGTGTGTGTGTGTGTGTGTATGTGTGTGTGCGAGAATGTGTGTGTGTCTGTGTGTGTGTGTCTTTGTGTGTGTGTGTGTGTGTGTGTTTACTAGTTGTGTTTTTACGGGGGTTGAGCTTTGCTCTTTCGGCCCGCCTCTCAACTGTCAATCAACTGTTTACTAACTACTTTTTCTTTTCCACACCACACACACACACACACACCCAGGAAGCAGCCCTTGACAGCTGACTAACTCCCAGGTACCTATTTACTGCTAGGTAACAGGGGCATTCAGGGTGAAAGAAACTTTGCCCATTTGTTTCTGCCTCGTGCGGGAATCGAACCCGCGCCACAGAATTACGAATCCTGCGCGCTATCCACCAGGCTACGAGGCCCCTGTGTGTGTGTGTGTGTGTGTGTGTGTGTGTGTGTGTGTGTGTGTGTGTGTGTGTGTGTGTGTGTGTGTGTGTGTGTGTGTGTGTGTGTGTGTGTGTGTGTGTGTGTGTGTGTGTGTGTGTGTGTGTGTGTGTGTGTGTGTGTGTGTGTGTGTGTGTGTGTGTGTGTGTGTGTGTGTGTGTGTGTGTGTGTGTGTGTGTGTGTGTGTGTGTGTGTGTGTGTGTGTGTGTGTGTGTGTGTGTGTGTGTGTGTGTGTGTGTGTGTGTTTATTGTGGGGGTGGCACGGTGAGGGGGTTGGGTTAACTGGTGGAGGGATGGAGGGAGAGGGAGAGAGGGAGTGAAAGGGAGAGGGGGAGTGAAGGAGGAGTGAAAGGGAGTGAGGGAGATTGAGGAAGAGAGGGAAATAGGCAGAATGGGGGGGGGAAGGGAAGAAGGAGGACAATCAGGGGGGGGGGATGGAAGGTCAAGTCCCAGTAGTGAGGGGTGAGGTTGGCGGTAGGCTGGTTTGTGCGTGCGTGTGTGTGTGTGTGTGTGTTTACACTGGCATGTTATGGTGAGGAGGGGGGGGGAGGGTAGGTCTAGTCAGTGGCGGTGTAATGTAACACACAGGTGTGAGAAAACTAGTACCAAGCTGAGGCTCTTGAGCTACTTTTTGTATTTTAATTAACTTATGTTCAAAGCTAATTACTATATAAAAAACACTGTACACCTTGTATGACTGACTTTGAGAGGCACTCACCTCCAAGTAAGCATCCCACAGCACAATTAGGTGATTTATGAAGCGATGTCCTCCTTAATTATTGACGTCTCCGCCAGAACTCCTCCCACGTGGTGGTCCAAGCTCTGCCCTTCTCAGGCCTCTGGTGCCACCGTCTTGCCACAATCTCGTTCATTTTCAATTTTTTTCTTATCCCATGTTATAAGAATTCACTACGTTGCGTTATCACTGCGTTGCTGTACCCTTCATATGACCAAAAACTATGTTTTGGGCTCACTGGTACGTAAATATCCCGAGAATATTGAAGTAATTCGCGGACCGCTGTCCTACACTTGTTCCCTGACCGCCGTCCTACGTATAGTCCCTTGTGTGTGTGTGTGTGTGTGTGTGTGTGTGTGTGTGTGTGTGTGTGTACTCACCTAGTTGTACTCACCTAGTTGTGTTTGCGGGGGTTGAGCTCTGGCTCTTTGGTCCCGCCTCTCAACCGTCAATCAACAGGTGTACAGATTCCTGAGCCTATTGGGCTCTATCATATCTACACTTGAAACTGTGTATGGGGTCAGCCTCTACCACATCACTTCCTAATGCATTCCATTTGTCAACCACTTTGACACTAAAAAAGTTCTTTCTAATATCTCTGTGGCTCATTTGGGCACTCAGTTTCCACCTGTGTCCCCTTGTGCGTGTTTCCCTTGTGTTAAATAGACTGTCTTTATCTACCCTATCAATTCCCTTCAGAATCTTGAATGTGGTGATCATGTCCCCCCTAACTCTTCTGTCTTCCAGCGAAGTGAGGTTTAATTCCCGTAGTCTCTCCTCGTAGCTCATACCTCTCAGCTCGGGTACTAGTCTGGTGGCAAACCTTTGAACCTTTTCGAGTTTAGTCTTATCCTTGACTAGATATGGACTCCATGCTGGGGCTGCATACTCCAGGATTGGCCTGACATATGTGGTATACAAAGTTCTGAATGATTCTTTACACAAGTTTCTGAATGCCGTTCGTATGTTGGCCAGCCTGGCATATGCCGCTGATGTTATCCGCTTGATATGTGCTGCAGGAGACAGGTCTGGCTTGATATCAACCCCCAAGTCTTTTTCCTTCTCTGACTCCTGAAGAATTTCCTCTCCCAGATGATACCTTGTATCTGGCCTCCTGCTCCCTACACCTATCTTCATTACATTACATTTGATTGGGTTAAACTCTAACAACCATTTGTTCGACCATTCCTTCACACACACATGTGTGTGTGTGTGAGTGTGAGTGTGAGTGTGAGTGTGAGTGTGAGTGTGAGTGTGAGTGTGTGTGTGTGTGTGTGTGTTTACTAGTTGTGTTTTTGCGGGGGTTGAGCTTTGCTCTTTCGGCCCGCCTCTCAACTGTCAATCAACTGTTTACTAACTACTTTTTTTTTTTTTTTCCACACACCACACACACCCCAGGAAGCAGCCCGTGACAGCTGACTAACTCCCAGGTACCTATTTACTGCTAGGTAACAGGGGCACTTAGGGTGAAAGAAACTTTGCCCATTTGTTTCTGCCTCGTGCGGGAATCGAACCCGCGCCACAGAATTACGAATCCTGCGCGCTATCCACCAGGATACGAGGCCCCTTTAAGGGCCCTATCCCCTACGAGGCCCCTATTAAGGCCCCTATCCCCGAGGCTACGAGGTGTGTGTGTGTGTGTGTGTGTGTGTGTTGTTAAATATGACCGAAAGGGTATGATTAATGATTCTAACACCTATTTCCTCAAAATTTCTTAGTCACTTACATACCCTAAGATATTCACTCTAGGACTCAGCACAAGCACTTACTCTAAGATATTCACTGTTGGACTCAGCACAAACACTTACCATAAAATATTCACTCTAGGGCGCAGCACAAGCACTTCCTCTAAGATATTCACTCTTGGACTCAGCACAAACACTTACCATAAGATATTCACTCTTGGACTCAGCACAAACACTTACCATAAGATATTCACTCTTGGACTCAGCACAAGCACTTACCCTAAGATATTCACTCTTGGACTAAGCACAAGCACTTACCCTAAGATATTCACTCTTGGACTCAGCACAAGCACTTACCCTAAGATATTCACTCTTGGACTCAGCCATAGATATCCCGAAGAAGTTGCCAAGGCCCAAGGGAGTGAGGGAGGAGCTGTAGAGTTGCTTGATGGTGTTTATACCGGGCGGTGTTCTCTCTACAGTGAGGAAGGCTGTGAGGTTGGAGCAGTAGCCTGTGGTGATGACGATGACGTACAAGCCAAGGAACACCACATACACCTGGAGGCTGGCGGTGCTGGGCTCCTGACGCAGGGTGTAGCGGAAGTGCATCCCCCACGTGTACAGGCTGGCGTACACCAGGCTCTGCTGCCCCAGCCTCTCACCACTGATCAAACCCATTTTAGTATATATATATATATATATATATATATATATATATATATATATATATATATATATATATATATATATATATATATATATATATATATATATATATATATATATATATATATATATTGGTATGATAAAACCTAAAATACAGCACATTCTTATTGACCATCTGCCGTATGTCTTACTTGTCTTACTTGTCTTACTTGCCAACTTCCTTCCATTAAATTAATCAACTGCCTATTTTAAGAAGCATCAAATTATCTAACTATCAAACTTTACCGTCTAATTAACCCACAGACTTGTGTAACTTCTCATTAACTTACAAATCATGTACGAATACACCAGAACCATCCACCACATCATCAACCTGAGCTGTCAATCACCATCTCATTAACCAATAGATTTCCAACATCTTCTCATAAACCAACACCCTTCCTACACATTCTGGTTAACCAGCACCCTTCCTACACATTCTGGTTAACCAGCACCCTTCCTACACATTCTGGTTAACCAGCACCCTTCCTACACATTCTGGTTAACCAGCACCCTTCCTACACATTCTGGTTAACCAGCACCCTTCCTACACATTCTGGTTAACCAGCACCCTTCCTACACATTCTGGTTAACCAACACCCTTCCTACACATTTTGGTTAACCAACACCCTTCCTACACATTTTGGTTAACCAGCACCCTTCCTACACATTTTGGTTAACCAACACCCTTCCTACACATTTTGGTTAACCAACACCCTTCCTACACATTTTGGTTAACCAACACCCTTCCTACACATTCTGGTTAACCAACACCCTTCCTACACATTCTGGTTAACCAACACCCTTCCTACACATTTTGGTTAACCAGCACCCTTCCTACACATTTTGGTTAACCAACACCCTTCCTACACATTCTGGTTAACCAACACCCTTCCTACACATTCTGGTTAACCAATCACCTTCCCGCACCTTTTGGTTAGCCAAAAGTCTGGTACAAAAACTTTATCTAATAATCTACACAAAAAAATATTATTTAAATATAACTAAAATCAAAGTGAACCTGGTCAGGTTGATTGATTCATTAAACGTAGATTGCTTAGCGACAATCTACTTTTGGAGTCCATGTGCTCAGCTGTTAGCGACTATCCGCTGTTTGAGGAGTAAGCTGGAACAAGGGTGAGTACTCCCATCCCACCTTCTCTGACAAAATAATGCATTCGAATATGCAAGTAATAATTAAGTAAGAATGTAAGTGCAGCCAAATCACTTATAAGTTTAATGATCTTGGCTTAATTTAATTTCAATCCAGTTTTTAGCCTGCACTACTAACATTGTTTTATTAAATTTTAATATATTCTGAATAATTATTATTTAAATCTATATACTAGCCAATGTAATCATTAAATAACTTTCTTAATGATTGTTGTGTTCAGGCGTTGCTATAGTGATGAGGTCATATACCCATACAATGGACAGCATCATGTCAGATGCCTTCATTAGCAGCATTCCCGCGGGAACGGAGGTAGTTGGGGGACAGAGGAGATATGATCAGAAGCTCTATGTGGGCTGCTCTAAGGCGGCCTGATTGTCCACAGTAGAGTCACTTCTACTGGTCTAGTTAATGTTAATTAAGCAGCTATCATACTATAGTTTGAGGTACTTCCTAACATGAGCGTAGACTGCTTAGTAACGCAGACATGCGACAGGTGGTGTTACCGTTGATGTGGTGGGTGCAGTGTTGGTGTTACCGTTGATGTGGTGGGTGCAGTGTTGGTGATACCGTTGATGTGGTGGGTGCAGTGTTGGTGTTACCGTTGATGTGGTGGGTGCAGTGTTGGTGATACCGTTGATGTGGTGGGGTACAGTGTTGGTAATACCGTTGATGTGGTGGGGTACAGTGTTGGTGTTACCGTTGATGTGGTGGGTGCAGTGTTGGTGTTACCGTTGATGTGGTGGGTGCAGTGTTGGTGTTACCGTTGATGTGGTGGGTGCAGTGTTGGTGTTACCGTTGATGTAATGGGGTACAGTGTTGGTGATACCGTTGATGTGGTGGGGTACAGTGTTGGTGTTACCGTTGATGTGGTGGGTGCAGTGTTGGTGTTACCGTTGATGTGGTGGGTGCAGTGTTGGTGTTACCGTTGATGTGGTGGGTGCAGTGTTGGTGTTACCGTTGATGTGGTGGGTGCAGTGTTGGTGTTACCGTTGATGTGGTGGGTGCAGGGTTGGTGTTACCGTTGATGTGGTGGATGCAGGGTTGGTGTTACCGTTGATGTGGTGGGTGCAGGGTTGGTGTTTCCGTTGATGTGGTGGGTGCAGGGTTGGTGTTACCGTTGATGTGGTGGGGTACAGTGTTGGTGTTACCGTTGATGTGGTGGATGAAGTGTTGGTGTTACCGTTGATGTGGTGGGTGCAGGGTTGGTGTTACCGTTGATGTGGTGGGTGCAGGGTTGGTGTTACCGTTGATGTGGTGGGTGCAGGGTTGGTGTTACCGTTGATGTGGTGGGTGCAGTGTTGGTGTTACCGTTGATGTGGTGGGTGCAGGGTTGGTGTTACCGTTGATGTGGTGGATGCAGGGTTGGTGTTACCGTTGATGTGGTGGGTGCAGGGTTGGTGTTTCCGTTGATGTGGTGGGTGCAGGGTTGGTGTTACCGTTGATGTGGTGGGGTACAGTGTTGGTGTTACCGTTGATGTGGTGGATGAAGTGTTGGTGTTACCGTTGATGTGGTGGGTGCAGGGTTGGTGTTTCCGTTGATGTGGTGGGTGCAGGGTTGGTGTTACCGTTGATGTGGTGGGGTACAGTGTTGGTGTTACCGTTGATGTGCTGGGGTTCAGTGTTGGTGATACCGTTGATGTGGTGGGGTACAGTGTTGGTGTTACCGTTGATGTGGTGGGTACAGTGTTGGTGTTACCGTTGATGTGGTGGATGCAGTGGTGGTGTTACCGTTGATGTGGTGGATGCAGTGTTGGTGATACCGTTGATGTGGTGGATGCAGTGTTGGTGTTACCGTTGATGTGGTGGGTGCAGTGTTGGTGTTTCCGTTGATGTGGTGGGTGCAGGGTTGGTGTTACCGTTGATGTGGTGGGTGCAGGGTTGGTGTTACCGTTGATGTGGTGGGTGCAGGGTTGGTGTTACCGTTGATGTGGTGGGTGCAGGGTTGGTGTTTCCGTTGATGTGGTGGGTGCAGGGTTGGTGTTACCGTTGATGTGGTGGGGTACAGTGTTGGTGTTACCGTTGATGTGGTGGGGTACAGTGTTGGTGATACCGTTGATGTGGTGGGGTACAGTGTTGGTGTTACCGTTGATGTGGTGGGTACAGTGTTGGTGTTACCGTTGATGTGGTGGATGCAGTGGTGGTTTTACCCTTGATGTGGTGGATGCAGTGTTGGTGATACCGTTGATGTGGTGGATGCAGTGTTGGTGTTACCGTTGATGTGGTGGGTGCAGTGTTGGTGTTACCGTTGATGTGGTGGATGCAGTGTTGGTGTTACCTTTGATGTGGTGGGTGCAGGGTTGGTGTTACCGTTGATGTGGTGGGTGCAGGGTTGGTGTTTCCGTTGATGTGGTGGATGCAGTGTTGGTGTTACCGTTGATGTGGTGGGTGCAGTGTTGGTGTTTCCGTTGATGTGGTGGGTGCAGGGTTGGTGTTACCGTTGATGTGGTGGGGTACAGTGTTGGTGATACCGTTGATGTGGTGGGTGCAGTGGTGGTGTTACCGTTGATGTGGTGGGGTACAGTGTTGGTGTTACCGTTGATGTGGTGGGGTACAGTGTTGGTGTTACCGTTGATGCGGTGGGGTACAGTGTTGGTGTTACCGTTGATGTGGTGGGGTACAGTGTTGTTGATACCGTTGATGTGGTGGGGTACAGTGTTGGTGTTACCGTTGATGTGTTGGGTGTAGTGGTGGTGATACCGTTGATGTGGTGGGGTACAGTGTTGGTGATACCGTTGATGTGGTGGGGTACAGTGTTGGTGATACCGTTGATGTGGTGGGGTACAGTGTTGGTGATACCGTTGATGTGGTGGGGTACAGTGTTGGTGATACCGTTGATGTGGTGGGGTACAGTGTTGGTGATACCGTTGATGTGGTGGGTGCAGGGTTGGTGTTACCGTTGATGTGGTGGGGTACAGTGTTGGTGATACCGTTGATGTGGTGGGGTACAGTGTTGGTGATACCGTTGATGTGGTGGGTGCAGGGTTGGTGTTACCGTTGATGTGGTGGGGTACAGTGTTGGTGATACCGTTGATGTGGTGGGGTACAGTTTTGGTGATACCGTTGATGTGGTGGGGTACAGTGTTGGTGATACCGTTGATGTGGTGGGGTACAGTGGTGGTGATACCGTTGATGTGGTGGGGTACAGTGTTGGTGATACCGTTGATGTGGTGGGTGCAGTGGTGGTGTTACCGTTGATGTGGTGGGGTACAGTGTTGGTGTTACCGTTGATGTGGTGGGGTACAGTGTTGGTGATACCGTTGATGTGGTGGGGTACAGTGTTGGTGATACCGTTGATGTGGTGGGGTACAGTGTTGGTGATACCGTTGATGTGGTGGGTGTAGTGGTGGTGAAGGGATCAATCTGCTCCCAACACTTGCCTTTCACAAGTGCTTTTCGTTCTCTTGAAGTGACCTTTAATTATGGGCTCTCCAATGCTACTAGATACTTGGTAAACGTGACACAGGTTTGTGATTATAACCTCAAAATTGAGTACCAATTAGATGCTCTTAAACACTTAAAGTTTGTGAGAGCCTTTATTAGACTTGACACGGCTCGCCGTCTTGTTTACACTCTGAAGGCATGATGTCTCAAGCGAGATGATCGACATCTTGGCCCGTTCTCCTATGGTTTCCCAACGTCAAAAAGCCGTCCTACTAAAGTGGCCTAATCCTAACACTAGGACTCAAAACAGAAAACTGGAAAATACGTAAATTTTCTAGCAAACACTATCATTTTCTAGTACGACATATTTTGGCTCTTTGGTCCCACTTTTCAACTGTCAGTCAACTGGTGTACAGAT